TGCCATGGGATCCATCCCAACCCCATGGGATCCCAACCCCATGGGATCCACCCCAACCCCATGGGATCCATCAACCCCAACCCCATAGGATCCGCCCCAACTCCACGGGATCCACCCCAACCCCATGGGATCCATCAACCCCAACCTCATGGCATCCACCCCAACCCCATGGGATCGCAACCCCACGGTGTCCATCAACCCCAACCCCACAGGATCCCAGCCCCACGAGATCCACCGCAGCCCCATGGGATCCATCAACCCCAACCTCATGGGATCCATCCCAACCCCATGGGACCCATCAACCCCAACCCCATGGGATCCATTCCAACCCAACGGGATCCATCAACCCCAGCCCCATGGGATCCACCCCAACCCAATGGGATCCATCAACCCCAACCCCAAGGGATCCATCCCAACCCAACGGGATCCCAACCCCATGGGATCCACCGCAGCCCCAAGGGATCCATCAACCTCAACCTCATGGGATCCATCCCAACCCAACGGGATCCATCAACCCCAACCCCATGGGATCCATCCCAACCCCATGGGACCCATCAACCCCAACCCCATGGGATCCATTCCAACCCAACGGGATTCATCAACCCCAACCTCATGGGATCCACCCCAACCCCATGGGATCGCAACCCCACGGAGTCCATCAACCCCAACCCCACGGGATCCCAGCCCCACGGGATCCCCCGCAGCCCCATGGGATCCCCCCCCTACCGACGGTGGCTCCGCTCTCCTCCCTCATCCTGGCTCCGACGCAGGCACGGATCTCCAAGCCGATGGCTTTGGCGAGGGGCGGCGGCACCGCGTTCCCCACCTGCGGGCAGCGGGCGGCCCTATAACGGCTGCGGGGCGCCGTGGGGCAGAGCCTATGGGGGTGGGGGGGGGTGGGGTTTGGGGTGGGGGTCCAAACCTGTCGGTGTTTGTCCAGGATGTTCCCAAAGAGCCGATAGGTGTCGGGGAAGCCCTGCGAGCGCGCGCACTCCCGGACGCTCACCACGCGGTGCTGCTCGGGGTGAAGGACGCGGCCCTACGGGGGGAAGCCCGAAGATGTGGGGAGAGGAAAAAGATCCCGAAGAAATGGGGGGAGAAAAGAAAGGCGAAGAAAGAAATTGGGGAGGGAAAAACGAAGAAAGGAAAGGGAAAAGGAAAGAAATTCCCAAAAAATGGACGAGGAAAAAATCCCAAGTGAAAGGGGAGAGGAAGGAAACCCCAAAGAAATGGGGAGAGGAAGGAAACCCCAAATAAATGGGGAGAGAAAAGAAAGTCGAAGAGAGAAACTGGGGAGGGAAGAACAAAGAAAGGAAAGGGAA